TCATTAAAAATAAAAAAGGAGTTGGTAGGAGAATTTGAAAGATGTTTTCAGGTCATGATGGAAAAGTCCTCCAGTCTGAAGTTTGTCCTGAGATGGAGTGTAAGAAGCTTATGCAGAATTCATTAGCTAGAACCTGTTAGGTGCAGAATGGATTTGGGACTTCAAGAAAGGCTAGAGGCACAAGCAAACAGCAGCTGTTCCCTCTTTGGGTACATAGGGATTCATTGAATATAGAACAAGTCCTTGAGGGACAGAACTATTAACTATCAACATTAGGGACAGAGCAAAGTATGAATCAGGTAAATAGCTACTAAAATACAATTTTTTATAGTGTAACCAGTCTCAAGAAAAAACAGATACTTGCAATACCCAAGTGCTGTCAGATATGCATCATGTGAAGGTTCTTCTCTCTGAATTTATCCTGATTTTACAGGATTCCCCCACTCTGCCATTCCAAACTCAAGGAATTACTTATGCATAAGCAGCAGGGTCAAAGTCAGATGTGACATAATATGAAAGATACATTATACCTTTCCTAATTGCCTTTTTAGTGATAGTCACAGGGAAAGGAGGGTGACAGGATTTAGACTGGGACCACAGTGCCAAGGGGCATGAACTCTGCCTTCTCCTGCCCTCCCAAAAGCAAGCTTGTTCATATCCGAATCCCATAAAGAGAGAATAATACTAGGACTGTGTAAGGAGAAAAAAGAAATTGCACCCAAAATCATGGGAAAGAGAAGTTTGGACAGATTTCTCAGTGCATTATCCAGACATTATACTGTTTCCAAAAGACATCAGAGTATGCATTTATGTTATATATATTACCCAGTCTAACTGCATGTTCTCTGGTGTTTACATATTAGTTATTAAACTTGCATTAACCCCAAGACATATCGTAGATAGAATTATCAATTGCTGAAAGTGATACCCACAGAACAAGAAAGATAAATTTAGGTTGCATAGGAGTGATCCTAAATGTATTTACTCAGAAATAAATGCTACTGGTCTCTGCCTGTGTTATCTATTGTCTTCTCAAAAGAAAGTTCAAGGAAGCTTACATCTGGGCAGCTAAGCATAGGATTGCAGGCAGAATCATCTGGCTATAATGTCACACTTTCATGCTCAGACCCAAGCTAGGAGTGATTCCACAGAGTGTTGCCATGTATACCATTAGTCCTAAAGGCTGAGAGCAAGAGTGGTGTAGTGGTTAAGAGTGCAAGACTGGGACTCAAGCGATCTGGGTTCTAGTCCCTGCTCAGCCATGGAGCCAACTGGATGACTGAGTAAGCCACAAACTCTCAGTCCAACTTACCTCGCAGTGTCGTTGTAGAGGTGGTAAGATTATGAGCAGCAGAATTATGAAAGCTGCTTTGAATTCTTTGTAAGGAAAAAGGCAGAATATATATCTAATAAATAAATAAGGCATAAGAATCAAAAGGGCTCGACTAATGGAATTTTCCCTTAGTGCTCTGGCAGTTACTTCCATAATCTGTCAGGATAACAACACTTGAAGTTTGGCTGGTACATAACCCTAGGGAAGAAGTTCACCAGCTGTGCCTGACCAGTCAACAAAACACTGGGAGGAATGATTTCAGACAAGACAGCTGCTGTGCAAAGTCAAGGTCTAAAATAAAATAGATGCGCAGGTGCACACGTATCACCACCAATTTAGCAGTTTAGACACAGACAGAACTGCTTTAAGCTATGTTCAAACTTGCCTGCATGAAAAAGATGCCAAATGCTTTTCAAAGAGCATGTATTAGCAACCAGATAAGCTGCTTGACCCTTAGAAAGTCCCAATACATTCTTGCTTCACATCCATGTTTTCTGACCAATGGGGCCAAAAAGGAATAAATTAGGCAGGTGTCAACCTAGTTCACTGGACATTCAGCAGGCCAAGAACTCATCTCAGACCTTGGAATAAACATCAAAAGAGAAGCAATGTCACCCCAGACAAGCTCTCAGGCAGTCCTTTCCCCTATGAAAAGGAAGTGCAATTTATATTAGAAATGCTTTATAGTCAGGGGTCTGTTTATTTTGGCACACAGAAGTTTCACTGTCAACATGGATGTGACTTCAAAACAAATGGAAATGAAAAAGAAATAAAAATGATTTGGCTAGCTTTATCAAGCAGGGGAATATAGAACTGCTACAGTTTACACACAGGTGTACAGATTCTGCCCCAGGCCTAAATCTATCCCTCTTGGGGTTCTCTGGAATGGCCCTTTCCCCTGACCATTTGGTGGTTTCCCAGCTTTTATAGTTTTTATCCCAATTCTAAAAGTTTTGATCCCATTTCTGAAATGTTCTCTAAAAGTCAGAAATTCAACTCCTTCCTCTAGATTCCACAAAGGGGCTATATTATGCCCCTCATCATATCCAGGCAAATTTAACTAATATTGTCTTATTTTCTCAGTCAAAAGCACCCTTC